TTATTTATTTATTTGACAGAGAGAGACACAGCAAGAGAGGGAACACAAGCAGGGGGAGTGGGAGAGGGAGAAGCAGGCTTCCTGCCGAGCAGGGACCCCGATGCGGGGCTCGATCCCAGGACCCCGGGATCATGACCTGAGCCGAAGGCAGATGCCAAACAACTGAGCCACCCAGCACCCCTAAAAGATTTTTTTAAAAGATTTACTTATTTATCTGAGAGAGAGAGCATGAACGGGGGGAGGAGCAGAAGGAGAGAGACACTCCCAAGCCGACTTCCCTCTGAGCATAGAGCCCAAAGCAGGGCTCAATCCCACGACCCGAGATTATGACCCGAGCAGAAACCAAGAGTCAGATGCTTAACCGACTGAGCCACCCAGGTGCCCTTCAATTTAAAAGACTTTTTACCCGCCCCCCCCCCAACAACCTGCTTCACTCTACTGGGTGTGAGCCCAGGTGGCTGGCCCAGATGTGATGGTGAAACTAGTCACACACCATCCTTGTGTCCGTCCATCTGTCTGCATCCAGCCAGGCTGATGCCTGGATCTACTTGCACCCCCTCACCCTCCTCTCATACTCTTCCCGGCTCAGCAACTGGTAAACAAGGCCGCTAGTTACCCAAGCCCCAAGCAGTGCCTCTGCCCTGCCCTCTCCTCTTCTTGCACCCCACAATCGACCGGTCCAGCAGCAAAGCCTGCTTTCCCTTCAGAGCAGATCCAGAAGCCAGGCCCTCCTCACCCCTCTGCCTCTCCCCTGCAGGACAAAGACCTTCCACCTGGGGCTCTGTCCTCCACTCCCTGGGGTCTTGGCCCAACAGCAGCAGGAGCAGGCTTCCTGAAACACAAACTTGACCATGCGCTTAGTTACTCTCCCGTTATGGGGCTCCAGCGTCTGCAGGTTCCTTGGGGGAAATAAACCAAGCTCCTCTCCAGGGCCTCCCAGGCCCTAGAGGGATTGAGCCTCTGCCCCTCTTCCCACCCCCCTCCCTGGGCTCCAGCCTCACTGGCCTCCGGCTCAGATGCCCCCTGTTTCTTCTGCTACCACCCTCCTCCTCTTCCAGGCCCCTCATGACCCCACTTCCTACCATCCAGGTCTCCCTGAAGCCCTGTGCTCTCAGCTCTAATCCAGAGAAATCCTGTGCTTTCCTGTGCCCCTGGGTTCCCCAGGGGATGGATAGTGATGGGTCTAAACAAGTCATACCAACCCCCTACTCTTTTGCCGGCGACTGATCTAGGGCGACCATGCAACCCAAGCTTGCCCATGAAGTGTGAGGGGAGGGTCTCTCAGGGCTTCTGAGAAGTTCAAAGAGAAATCTGTTTTGCTTCCACCCTATTTCCTCTTGCTCAGTGCCCTGTCCTGTGAGGGTGTGATGCTTGGAGCTACGGCAGCTCTTTTGTGCCCATGAGGAGCACCATCTCCAATACCAGGGTGACCACAAGTCTGGATTTGATTTCCCGTGATGCAGGACATTCAGCACTAAAATTGGAAAAGTTCTGGGCAGCAGGATGATTAGTAAACCTAAACTGGTGTCATGGAAGGACAGAGAGAACTTGGGCTCTTGCCGATATCCTTGAGCTTCCAACTGGCTCTGGAACCCCTAACCTTTGGATTTTTTGTTATATAAACAACGGGTATCTTTATGGTTTAAGACTCTGTTTTGTTACTTGCAGCTAAAATCACAGGCCTGAGAAGTTCACACCTCCCATCGTTTTTCACCTCTTGCCTTTGTGTGGTTCCAAGCACTGTACCCCCTGACCCCAGGACCCCCATGACTGCTATTGACGCTGCACTCACCCTGTCAGGCTGCGTCCCTACCACCCCCTTCCCCAGGGTGGGAAAGTTTCCTGGGCTTTTCCTCAACAGGCTGCAAACATGCTCACCTCTGCACACTCGGTTTCCTTTACTCCTTCTTTCTGACATTTCTTGCACTCTGACTGCATCTCAGCTAACTGGGTGCTCACTGTACCTCTTCTTGCCTGCCCACTCCACCCTCCCCCCCCACGCCCAAGCTACGAGCCCCTGGGGGGCAGACAGCAGACTTCCTCCGTCTCTCCCCCGCCCACTGCCCGCCATCCCAGTCTTGGTTGAACAGTCCGTGCCAAGTGTCTTCTTGGCCAGGAAATGATGTCAGGCCTGACCTGACTGTTTTCATTCCTGGGTGAGGGGCTCACTGAGCCCTCACCCAGTTCCTGAGGCCCCAGGGCCACCCTGCAGCATGAGATCCAGTCAGTCCTCTCCTTCCCTGTTGCTGACTCAGCTCCTTATCACATGTCCTGCCCCCAGCCTTCTTCCTGGGAGAGGCCCTGCAGGTGGGTTCTCCCCCTCTGAGGGAGGACTCAAGCCCTTCCTGTCTGGCTGCTCTCAGCAGTCCTGCTCCCCTCAGTTCTCTGGACTCACTTTCTCAGAGCCACACACCTACTTTGCCCATCCCTGCACCCAGGAGGTCAAGCGATTAAGGAGTCCCCACATGGGTCATTTCCTGATTCACCCCTGGTGCCAGGAAAATACTCTAGAGTGTCAGGAACAGCCCCGGGTCCTGTACTGCCCTGTTTGCAACTCGCTCCGGGACCCCTAGGCCACTTCCACCTTCCCCCCGGACCTCGGTCTCCTCCTCTGACAAGGGACGCATCAACTCTATTTCAGGTCCTCTAATTCAGCGGGGGGTGGGGTGTCTTTTGGCCAATACCCCGAGGCAAGCAGCGTTCAGGAGGGGAGCAAGGAGGACTGTGTGGGCAGTGTTAGGTCCAAGCTGGACATGGGACCCTAACCCCGGCAGGGCACCGAATGGCCAAGCCAGCCTCCCTGGAGTGGCTGCCCCTCTTCTAGGGAATCAGTGCTGAGGGGGGAGGTGGCCGGGTGTGGAAGCGATGCTGCTGGGCCACGGTGGGACTGGAGCCAGTGGGCTTCCAGGAAGGGAAGATAAAGATACCCCCTTCCCGGCAAGGCTGGAACCCTGAGAGGACAGGGATCCAGTTCCAGTCCTGTTGTCGCCGGGGGCAAGGGGTGGTGACCAGGAGGGCCTTGCAGCAGCTGTGTTGGGCTGGGTGCTGCCGGGGGCTGGGGCCCGGGACTGGACATCTATTGGCTGAGTGTCTGAGCCGGTGGGCGAGGTCAGGGCAGGGCCAGCATGTTACTGGAAGCCCGGTGGCTCTGTCTGTCTCTCTGCCAAGCTGCCCACTGCATTCTTTGGCCTCCTATTTGCAGGCGAGCTCAGCGGAGGTCCCAGCCCCAGCCTGCCTTGAGCCTGGGTGCTGTTGTGCCTATGTTTTGGATCCCTTGAGCTGTTGTCTGGGACAGCGGTTGAGATGGGCAGCAGGGGGTGGGGTGGGCAGGACGCTAGGAAGGTAGCCGTGCTCCTTGGGAGCAAAGGTCACCTTTCCCTGTGCAGTTCTGGGAGCTCAGGTGACCCGGGTGAGGGGATCCCTGTGTGCATGTGCGTGCGTGCGTGCGAGAGTTGCCCCAAGACCAGGGATCATAGACCTGAGTTTGCCCAAGTATTCCAGGATATGTAGGCAGGTGTGCAGGGCATGGGGGTGCCCAGAGGGGTGCACTGTCCTCCCAGATGGCAGCCCACATATTGGATTTTGGATCTGCAGTCACTGAGTGTGGGGAGTGACATGGACAAGCGGCTCTACTTCTCCCTGCTGGTAAGCGGCAAGTAGGGATAGGCCCCCTCGTGGGGCCGTGGTGAGGACACGCAGGTGGGACCCAGCGGGGCAGTGAGCTTGTAGGAGGGGCAGGACCAGCCCTTCCTGGCTTCGCAGGGAGTGCCTCAGGTTTTTCTCACTTCTGCAACTCCTCCCCACCTGCCCTTCCCGCACAGTCTACCTGATCTCCCTGACCCAGAGGGGATCTTGTTCTTCCTGCCTGGAATTCCAGGTCCACAAGCTTTCTTGACCGCTCCAATCTGGCCTCGGCATTCCCACCAGACCCTCCCCTTGAAGCACAGGGACCTCTTCCGGGACCCAGAGCCCAGGGCATTGGGCAGAGGAGATCTGAGCGCCCAGCCCGCTGCAGGGGTACCTGCCACTCATGTCCGCCCAACATGGGGGCCTCCCCACTGCAGCCAGGTTGGGCTAGCCCCCAAAGAGACAGCAGCATGGTTCCGGGAAGCCTGTGCCGCCAGGGATGTGAGCCTGAACTCCCCAGGTCACTGTGGGGAGGGTTGGCAGCCAGCGAGCCGGCCATTGGCGTCAGAGCCAGGGTCTCAGATGGCTTGGAGCAGGGTTTCCAGCCCTCTTCCAGGCTCAGCCCCCCCCACGCCCCAGCCCCACGCCCCCTGCCAGGCACTGACCTCTCCAAAGTTCCCCCTCCTTCCTTCTTCCCTCCTCTAGCTCCCTGCTCAGCCCAGGGAGGGAGGCCCTGGGTGCAGGAGCCTTGATCAGATCCCCTGAAGTATCAGGGAGGTTTCTTCCCCCGTTTCTACTCCACTTGCTACGGGACCTCCAAGCTTCAGTTTCCTTATCTGGATAATGTGGGTGGACAGCACCCCATGTGAGAGTCCTTCAAAGGTTCAGTGGGGGAATGCTGCATGGGGCCTGGCTGACAGCCACACACAGTACTGTATTAACCCCGTTTCACCCCCGTCCTCGGTCCCCCAGCTCTCACCTGAGGGAGCAAGTAAGCCTCACCTGCACCAAGACAGAAGCTCAGAGAGGAGAGCAAGCAGCTGGGGCCCACAGCAGGGACAAACGGCCCAGATGGGGTACCCCTCCTTTCCCTGGCCCCTTTCTGCAGGGCCCCACTTCCCCTGGGGTCCAGGGCCCGGTTTGGAGAAGCAAGACTGGGACCTGTGATTTTCTTCTCCCAGCTCATTCCCTGAGCCACATGAGGCAGGAGCCGGGGGTAGCCTCACACCTGAGAGCCTTGGGGTATGTTCAGAGAATTCCCTAGCTTTACAAGTGTCCCACTCTTCCTTCCATAGCCCTCTCCAAGCCCCCACCAGCCTCTGTCCCCTCTGCCATCCTTGTGTGGTGGCCCGTCTCCAAGATGGCCCCAGGGAACCTGTCTCCTGGTATTCAGTTGCTCCCACACTGAACCAAGCTGATCTGTGTGGCTTCTTCCATCTTGGTCTTTTGGCCCACTTGCTCTGGGGGAAGCCAGTCCCCCCATTCCATGAGGATACTCCAACTACCCCATGGGGAAGCTCATGGGGAGAAGAACAGAGGCCTCCAACCAATAGCCATGTGTATGGACCACCTTGGAAGTGGGTCCTCCAGCCCCATCCAGCCCTCAGAGGACTGCAGCCCCATGAGAAGCCTCAGGCCAGAAGGCCCAGCCGAACCACTCCCAAGTTCCGACCCACAGAAACCGAGCGATACTGAGTGATGGTTGCTTTGAACCAAGGGAGAGGTGAGTTGTAATAACCAGCAGGCCCTGGGAAATTGTACCCCAACCCAGTGAGAAGGGGGTCCTGGCCTTTTGTCCCTTCTGGTGCCTCTTCTCTCTGACACCTCAGACATCAGTGGGATGCTATGCTTGTTTTCTACGCTGTGAACAAATGATCACACATCTAGAGGCTTACACAACACATATATCTAATATCGGGTGGTTGCCTTAGGTCAGAGGTCTGAGGGCTGCTCAGCAGGGTCCTCTGCTTAAGATCTCACAGGGTTGGGTGCCTGGGTGGCTCAGATGGTTAGGCGTCTGCCTTCGGCTCAGGTCATGATCTCAGGGTCCTGGGATCGAGTCCCGCATTGGGCTCCCTGCTCCTTGGGAGCCTGCTTCTCCCTCTGCCTCTCTCTCTCTGTCTCTAATGAATAAATAAATAAAATCTTTAAAAAAAAAAAAAGATCTCACAGGGTTGCCATCAAAGTGGTGGCTGGGCTGGGTCCTCATCTGAAGCCTCCCCTGAAGAAGATCCGTTTCCAAGCTCTTTCCAGTTATGGGCACAACTCCTTGCCTTGCAGCTGTGTGACTGAGGGCCTGGGGGTTTTGCTGGCCGGAGGCCAGAGGCCACCTTCAAGTTCTAGAGGCCACAGCTCCTGACCCCATGGGCTCCCTCAACACGGCTGCCCCCTCCCTTCAGCAGGGGGACCTTCTCGTTCCATTCTGCTGAGAGGCAGTCTTAGATATAACTATGGAGGGACATCCTGTCCCCTTTGCCAGGTTCTGTTCCTTAGACCCTAGTCCCAGCTTCTGCCCACACTCGTGAGGAGGCAATTATAGAGGGTGTGACACATTGGGGTCCCTTTAGGATGCGTCCCCTGCAGTCCTGGCTCTGGAGAGGGAGAGGGTCTCTTCCCCGGGACATGGGTGTTCTGATCTCAGTCCAGCTAAGGCTGGTTTCTTAGGGTTTTTTTCCTGGTAAGATGGAGCAGTCTCATTTGACTCATCATATTCTTGAGATTAACAGGACTCTAACCCACCTGCTACGGAGTTGTTACTTTGTAGCTTACCATGTATCTAATTAGGTCCTTTGGTTCTTTATCTTACTTAGTGTCACCGCAATCGCACGAGCAGGTAGAATTGACCGTCTCTTCTCGGGCACAGAGCACGTGCGGCCAGTGGCCAGTGGCTCACTAGTAGCTGCTGGTCAGGACCCTGCAAGGCCCATGCGGACCGGCCGAGGCCTTCGGAAGGGAGTTGGCTCGCATGATGAAAACACACAAGAGGAGGATGAGGCCTCGGGCATAGCTGGCTCCAGATTCACCAGCAGCGTCACCGGGAATAGGTCTCTGTCCGTCCCTGCCTTCTGCTTCCCCTGCTGGGTTCCCCCGCCCGGCACGCTCTCCCTGGTGGTGGCAGTAGATCTAGGTCAGCCTCAGCCTGCGCCCGTCTTGTCCCCGTGCAGTGCCGGGACCCTGTCCTGATTGGACTGTTCTGGGTCGTGCCCCGCCTCCAGGGCGCTGGGGGACATCAGGCCCATCGATGAGCCACAAAGACCAAGAATGGCCAAGGAATGGAAACCGGTTGCTCTTACTGAAGGAAGGGAAAGGGGTGCTGCTGGTAGGCAAGGCAAGGGGCGGCCAGTCTGGGTTCCAAGCCCCTGTCACCGGACTCCAGGGTCGTGCTGTCAGTCCTGGGGCCTCCTGTGCCACCTGCATGACACGGAGCCGAAGTGAGATCCAGGTGTGGCTGGGATGCCGTCGGGGGGGGGGGCGCTGACTCCCAGGCCTCCTGCCCCGCAGCTGCCCACAGGGAGCAAGCACCCCAAGGGCACCGAGGGCACGGAGGCTTTGCAGACAAGTGGGACATGGCGGGGAGGGACTGCTCCGTCTCTGTGCTGGGGACAGCAGAGGGGACAACTTAGGGACACAAAGCCAACAGGTGGCTTTATCACGGTTTTTCCACCACCACGAGTTACCGCTTGGCGTGCATTGTGGGTGTGTTCAGTGCTTTAATCTTGAGGCAGCGCCAGGAGGAAAGGAAATACCGCCATCCCCTCGAACAGGGCGAAGGCTGAGGCTCCGAGGGTTCCAATGGGCTGCTCCTAGTCCCGCAGGCCTGGATCCGTCCATGCTGTCTCATTCCCTCAGAGGACAGACAGAGGCCCAGGGAGGGATCAATCCCAGCTTACACACACACACGCACACACACACACACACACGCACACACTGTCCTGGGCACCTCTGGACCCCTCTCAGCTCCCCTTTGTTTGACCGGCATTGTGTTTTTGAATAGGTAATAGTCATAGGTTTCAAAATTCAGATGTGACAAGTGTTGACTGAGAAAGTGTTGGCTTGGGGCCCCCAAAGATGTCCATACCCCAATCCCCAGACCTATGACTATGTCATTTTCTTTGGACAAAAGGGACTCTGCAGATGTAATGAAGTTAAGGACCCCGAGATGGGAGAGTATCCTGGATCATCCAGGTGGGCCCTGAATGTGACCAGGAGGGTGCTTATAAGAGGGATGCCTGAGGCCAGAGGGGCGTGAGAAGGTGCTGTCTAGTGGCTCTGCAGATGGAGGAAGGGGGTCTCAGTCAGCTCGGCTGCCATCATAAATACCACAGACGGGGGCCTTCAACAGCAGACATTTATTTCTCACCGTTCTGGAGGTGAGAAGTCCAAGGTCAGGTCCAGTCAATGAGATTTTGGGTGAGAGCCCTCTGCCTTCCTTGCAGACGGCCACCTTCTCACTGTGTCTTCACCGGGGGCGGGGAGCAAGCTCTCGGGCCATTCTTCTTATAAGGGCACTAATAATAATAATAATGCACCTTTTCTTACAAGGGCACTAATCCCCTCTTAGGCCCCCTAAGACCTCATCTAACCCTAACCACTTCCCAAAGGCCCCACCTCCAGACACCTTGGCATTGGGGGTTAGGGCTTCAACATATGAATGGGGTGGGGGGATCCAAACAGTCAGTCCATAACAAAGGGGCCACAAGCCAAGGAATATGGGCAGCCTCTAGAAGCTGGAAAAAAGGCAAGGAAACAGATTTTCTTGTAGAACTCTTAGAAGGAACACAGTTCTGTGGATCCATTTGAGACTTCTGGTCTCCGGCGCTATAAGATATTAAGTTTGTATTGTTTGAAGCCACTAATTCATTACAGCAGACACGGGGAAGGAATGCACCCCATCCCCAGCCACCTGCTGCCCCATCACAGAAGCAACCAAGGCTAAAGTTTGTTTTCAAATGTATCCTTCCATGTATATTTTGTGTATACCCAAGCATGTGCCCACACACCGCAAACACACACTTTCTTCCTTCCTTCCCCCCCCAACAAACCCCATAAACAAAGCACACTATACACACTATTCTGGGGGAGTCTGTCCTCCCAGTGACTGATTTACATATGGCCCCCACCTCTGGCAAACACATGCTGTCAGAACAGGAAGTATGCCAAGCCTGGGCTGGGAGATGCGGGAGACACAGCCCCTGCTCTTGAGGGGAGGTTGAGGCACTAACAAACAGGCCGCCAGGGTGCCTGGGTGGCTCAGTTGGTTAAGCGACTGCCTTCGGCTCAGGTCATGATCCTGGAGTCCCGGGATCGAGTCCCGCATCAGGCTCCCTGCTCAGCGGGGAGTCTGCTTCTCCCTCTGACCCTCCTCCCTCTCATGCTCTCTGTCTCTCTCTCTCAAATAAATAAATAAAATCTTAAAAAAAAAAAAAAAACAGGCCACGAGGGCTGGGAGGAGGGGATATGGAAGCAAGCACCTCCTACCTGTTGCTCAAAACTGGCTTCTGCTGGGGCCTGGGGGCCACAGGATGCTGGCAGGGATGTGACTGATTACAAAGGGCAATGCTGGGGAGCAACACAGGTGAGAGAATTCTATAAACCAAATGGATACAAGTAAGCCTCTGAATAAGACGTGCAGACTACGTGAAAGCCAAAATGCGGGCTGTGATATTGTCCTACAGTCCTGAAAAATGTTACCATTGGGGGAAGCTGAGCAAAGTGTATATGAAATCTTTTCATATTATTTCTTACAACTACATGTGAATCTAAAATTAATAGACACTTCAACTAAAAGAATTGATTTCTGGTGCCAAAGTCCAACTTGGGAGCCTCTCCGCCGCGGTCATGGCTGTCCAGGCTTGTAACAGGGGTTCCCCTCTATCAGCCCCGAGACCCTTCCCGGTATCTCCAGGGTTAGCGGGAGACCCACCCTGCTGGGGCATTCAGCAAGGCTGGGCAAGAGCCAGAATGAATGCCCGAATGCACAAATGGACGCACTCCAGGTGGGGCCAGAGGGCCATGAAGACTTGGGCAGGAAGGTCATCCTCCTTGGACCTTGGAGCAGGATGGCCCCTCAGAAAGCTAAGACCTCATGCCTGGCCTGAGACCTGGGTCCCCTTCAAACAAACACTGCCCAGTCACCAACAACACCAAGGGACTCAAATCCTCTACCTGCCCTTTCCAGACACCTTGCAGTGAATTCAAGGTCCACAAGCAACACTTACCATCCCATCCCAAACTCCCACAAACTCCCCAGTCCCCACCTCTGATTCTGCCTGGGTGGCCCCTTGGAGTCACCCCTCCATGTTGCCATCCCCCCCCAGAAGCCGGACCCTGTACCAGTGAGTCTGAGGCAGCTGTGGGGGAGGGAGTTGGTGGGGGGATGCTCAGACCCCGGTTTCTTCCAGAGCTGGGCCTCTTTTCCCTATCCCAGGTGAACAGAGGGTCCCCTAGGGGGACGAGAGGGGAGGAGACACCGCAGAGGGCTTGCAACCCCCTTAAGATTCCTGTTCTGACTCTGGCACCAGGACCCCGCATTAGAACTCCTCTTTCGAGCATCCCTGGAAAAGGCAGAAGCTGAGGGCTGACACAGGCCACCTAGTGAGACCAAGAGGCCCCCCTGGTCTCTTCTTGCTTTAGGCTCCCAGGAAGAGGCTGGATCCCCAGCCCTCCCTACCTGTTCCCCCATCAGACCTCCCCCACATGGGGGGTGCTATCCCTGCACCTTCCCAAAGGCTCAGTCTCCCTGTCTCCCACCTGGTCTTTGTCCTCTCCCTCCTTCCCTCTCTCTCCCCACCAGCCTCCCAAATCAGGAGGGGGTGGCTGGTGAGCTGAGAGGCCCAGGAGCCTCCCCTCCCCTCGCCCCCTCACTCGCAGCCCCCGCACTGGAGACACACATGGTGGGGCCACCCTGCGCTTGAGAAAGTCCCTGCTGCGGCTACTTTTAGGAGTTCTTTCCGAGGAACTAGCCACTGAACCCCTTTTTAAAAAGCAGAGGCGGGCCGGGCAGAGAAGGTGCTAGTTTAGTGGGGAGTTGCTGGCTGGTCCAACCTCGGGTCAGTGGGCCCGGCGGGAGACCGAGGGTCCTCCGCGGGGCAGTTAAACGCTGGCGTCCGGGGGTGTGCACGTTGGGCCCTGGTCCCTGCTCCCCACGGCCCTGGGGTGGGGGTGGGGTGACTGTCGCTCTCATTTGCAGACCGGCAAGCGGGTCAAGAGAGCCGTTACCCGCCCCCCGCCCCCCACCCCCCGCGAGGGAGGCAGGGAGCCACCCCGACAG